GTTACTAGAACTCCTATCAGATTACCGAATTTCCATGAAAAAAAAATAATTTTTTTTACTAAATTTTTCGGAAAAAAATTTTAGAAATTCATTATTTTCTCGAGAGTTCTGTTAGCCCCCCGAAAAGTTCTAACGTTAATCCTTAATAACTGTTGCTGTAAAATCAATACCTGAAAAGTTCTGGGACCTTAAAGTTTCAGATTTTGATATTTTTACAAAAGTTCAACGAGCTATAACTCCTTTGTTTGCGGTTTTAGCGCAATGATTATTAAGAATAATCGTTAGAACTCTTTGGGGGGGTCCTCTATAGACCAACGTGCTAAAATGAACGGTTTAGAAGTTATAGCTCTTCAAAGTTGCAGAATCGTGAAGTTGGCCCCCCGGAATTTCAAATGGGGTTTTCGCTGCTTTAATCAATAGAACTCTTCCTAAATTTGATAGAGAACTCTAGAACTCTTCGGGGGGCAACCAGAACTCTGCTTATTTTTTCAAAATTTTGACAATGAGGGGCCAAGCTTCACAGACGTGCATAAATAAGTACTGAAGTATTATACAGTAAAGGATACGTTGCATCTTATTTCTGAAGATTACGTTAGATTACGTCTTTTTTAAACATTTACAGCTTATTTTTGCTACCGTAAATATCACAAAAGGAGACTTTTATAAAATGGCGAAACCTTGGTTGGGCAACGGACTTGTAACATCTACAGGTAAACGCAAAACAAAATCTTATTACATATCTTTTTACATTTAGAGTTTTACTCAAAATAATTTACAGCTTATTTGCTATGGTCTAACTTCTGCCAGCGGACACTCTTTCAAGACCCGATATAAAGTATGTTTTATACAAGTAGATCAAACTATGTAGACGAGCAATAATGCATTCGCAATCGTTTTCTTATTTTTTTTTTGACCTTATTACTGACACAGGTATTCGAACTTTAATGATTTTATTAAAATAATCAAGAAAAATTGACACTTTATAATTTCACAAATTCAAAACATTATGAATAAATTTCATAATATTTGTGTTAAAAATTTTATTATGTCTTTAAAGAGATATTATTCGGCAGATAAGGAGAAAATCATATTACATATATATTAATATATCTTAAAAATAATGCTTTTGAAGCTTCCATCGATACTTTCTATAGAGAAACTAAAGTTTATTATTTTTTTTTATTTGGAATAAAAAGGAGTAATTTAAACAAATCCACTTCTTATTAATGTGCGGACCAACTGCACTCTCATTCGCTCTTAATTACTGGAACTCATGGTTTTCTATAGAGAATTAGTTATGTGTTTCGCAAGTTATTTCCGTGTCTATATCCATTTTTGGAATATCAATATACTTATGGAATATCACGATACTTATTAGACTAAGGTACCTGAGCCGAATAAGGCCCACCTAATTAATTTTATTTTTTTTAAATTTTATTTATAGAGGGATATTAAAATAAACTTTGTAATAATAAAATCTTTATTCTAATAACTAACAAAAAATGTATACATTTTTCATGATAAAGATTTTTAAATAAGGAAGAAATTTGTTTTTTTTAAATTTGATTTTGGACTTTATTACATGCATATGTATTTAATAAAGCCCAAATAACAAATCAATGAAAAATAAACGTTATTTAAAAAAAAAAACATTTTTTTAAATAACAAATATTTTTTGGTAATCGTCTTTGACATTTTCTTACTTTAGGTAACTTTAACTCAATAAATTTTAACTTGAAAATATTAACAGCATTGAAAATCTGTATCTTGTGATGTAAGTCCCTGGCTTAGCGCCGAGATACTACCGTGTCTCCAGATACATAACTCGTGATACCATTGAGAAAGCGAATATCAAATCGATATCGATACCATGTAAACACATCGACGCGATGCATGCATCAGTTTATCCTTGTTTCTATCAAATATAAAACAAGGAAAAGAGATGCTTACAAGCACTGTAAGCGTAAAATGAAACGCACTCAAGTACACAAAATCGTGCAAAGCTGAATGATATAACCTTACATAACTTAATATGTTCGAAAACCTACCAGGAAGCTTTGCATGGATTGTGCGACAATATGTTCTGTTTTATCAGCATATTTCATAATATATTTGCTAATTATAATTTAGTTTTAGTATAACAAATATTATATTAAATTTGGTACCTTTTCGTTGACAAAATTTGTATCAAGCTCAGCCGAGCGGGAACCATAGGAGTATATGGTAGGAACATCTTATAAGGCCCAGGGACCATTTTAATGGGCCTTATTTGATGAGTGTGTCGTTCCTAAACAATATATATTTATTCTAAAAAATTGGTATATATATTTATTATTTTTAAGCCCATGGCACATAGAAAAACGTAAGGCCGTAAAACGTAATCAGTAAGCGAATTGGCCAATCACAGTAGAGACCGTAAGGCCGGTAGCAAATCCAATGTTACGATTTCCATACTGATTACGTCTTACGGCCTTACGTTTTTCTATGTGTTTCTGGCTTTACTGATTAGAAAGTTGAATAATATTATAGTATATTATAATAAATTACAAAATAACGTATATTTAATAAACTTTTTCAAATACTTTCGATTTATTGCAGCGGATTTTTATAAAAACGACACAAACATCCACTTCGTCACAAAGTTCACATTATACTAAAAAAACCGTGTTGTTGCCAGTTCTGTTTTTCTAGACATCTTTTTATCGGCCCTATGACATATCTTTTAAGCATATAATTTAGACATAAAGTGCATTTATAAGCGGTAATTTCAAACGTGGGCCTTATTTTGTACTGGGCTTTATTCGGCTCAGGTACCTTACTTATTCTGATGAAACGACCTGCAATGTTTATGAAACATGAATATTGATATTCACAAAGATATAATCTGTGAAACAGACAGTTCTTATATATTTAAAAAATATCTATATACAATTTTAATTTTAATTTTATATAATATTATAATACAGTATAGTTATTTTTGTGACTAGGGAGTAAAAGTGATTTTTACACCCGGAGGGTGTTCGACGGCACGAGGGCTGGCGAAGCCAGCCCGAGTGTACGGTCGAACACACGCGGGTGTGAAAACCTTACTCCCGAGTCGCAAACAAAATTTTTCGTACTAGGGAGCTATGAAGGTGGGGAATGAGGTTCATGGATTGTTTTGCTGAGTGGGGAGTAATTGGGTGTTATTTATTTACAATTCTCCGGGGTGTAAAATCGCATTTTACTCCCGCAAATGCGGGAGTAAAACTATCATTTTACGCGCCCTAGTACGAAAAATATATTTTTTCCCATTAACTTGAGCTTAATATTGTAATCTTAGTCAAGTATTTTTAAATAATACTGGAATCTTTTTAGGACCGTACAATTGATAAACAATAATAAACAAGAAGAAGGAAGCCAATAACGGTCAAAGCTGGATCACAGTGCTTATTATAATTATGTGTATTTACTATTTTATATAATAAGCACTGTGATCCTGCTTTGACCATTATTGGCTTCCTTCTTCTTGTTTATTATTATTTTTAAATATATAAAAGTATTCTTAAATAAATAAAATAAATCCCTTAGAGAGAGAGAGAGAGTTTTTTAAATATAATAAACATTAGTGTATGTCATATGAGTGCGTGCGTGCGTGCGTGTGTGTGTGTGTGTGGTATGAAAATACTTATTATAGATAAGCTATAAAAAGGTAAAACATCCTTTAATCTGTTCCTGTCCATTGCAAAAATATACAGGGTGTCCCATTTTAAATGATCCAGCCAAATATCTCGAAAACTAAACACAGTAGACAAAAATGTTTCAGACAAAAATTGTTTGACTCGAAGAGGGACATAAGATGGTGCCATCGATTTGACCTTGGATAATCCTCTGAAGGTCACGTGAAAATCACCTTTAATTTTTTAAATGGAACCCCTTATTTCTCATTGCACATATTCTTAAAGTTCATCTCGAGAGCTAAATATAATTGTAAAATATATAAATAAAATTGTATTAGTTGGATCAAATAAAAAGGTAACTGGCGTTGTAGTAGCTATACGCTTAGTATGTTATCAAAAAGTTTGTTATACATATTTGAAGTTGGCTCCAAATATGTATATTTAGCATATACGATATCATGTGTAACCTGCGAGTTATATTATTTATTTTTAAACAGAAATCGTTATAAGTAGCACAATAAATTGTTTTATCATCCTGGGTATGTTTTAATATTTCTCGCAATGGATTCTGATAGGAATTTGATAGGAATTATTCAATTATTCTTCTGATTTTTATTGTTTTTTTTTTTAGAGAAAACGCAACAAATTCAGAGAAATGATTTTATTGATTATATTCGAACAGGGTAAACATAAGATATCTCTAATGCTTCAAAAATTAAACCTTTAACAAAATTACGTTTTCTTGAACTAATTATGTTTTGCGATATTTTTACTATATAAGTACAATTATATTTTAATATTGTTTCAGGTAAACAATGGTTTAATAATAGAAAACTCATCGGGCCAACGTTCCATTTCAGTATATTAGAACAATTTGCTGAGGTTTTTTTTGAAAAAACAGAGATCCTCATAAAGTGTCTTGAAAGAAAAATAGAAGATAATCCAGGGAAAGCCATTGATATTTTTCCTTTTATAACCAATGCTACTCTTGATATTATCTGCGGTAAAATATGTAGTACATTTTTTAATTAATATACAATATTTAATTGTAACGTTTTTTTTTATTAAAAAATGTTTGTTGACACAGTGCGTTTTATGCTGTAAATTTTATCAATCATTCTATGGATAGTAAACAAAGGAACATGTTAATTATTAGTTATTATTTTGCAGAAACGGCAATGGGTGTTAATGTACATGCTCAAGAAGTTGTAACCAAATATACATCAGCATTACATCAGTCAGTTTCTAAATTTCGTATAGTATTATTATCAGTAAAATAACACAGGCCCACAAAAAAATTGTTATTTTTTGTGCGATGAATGCTACTATGATATTCCCATGTATTTTTTCCCGCTGAAACCGAATCCGTAACCCGTTTAACCCCTACACGTCAGGATTTTTTTTTAATCTCAAAAAAACGGTAAGAGTACCGATTAGGGAACCTTCCCCCAATGACCTTGACCTTGACATAATTTTCCCGCTGAAACCGAATCCGTAACCCGTTTAACCCCTACACGTCAGGATTTTTTTTTAATCTGAAAAAAACGGTAAGAGTACCGATTAGGGAACCTTCCCCCAATGACCTTGACCTTGACATATGTTGTCAAGGTCATGACCCTGAGTAACCTCCAACAGGTTTTAGCCGTCGCTCGTCCTTTTCGTTAGAAAGTTATTAACAATTATAGTTTTAAAGTTATGATCCGATCATAACTTTAATCGGTACTATTACCGTTTTTTTGAGATTAAAAAAAATCCTGACGTGTAGAGGTCAAACGGGTTACGGATTCGGTTTCAGCGGGAAAAAATACATGGGAATATCGTAGTAGCATTCATCGCACAAAAAATAACAATTTTTTGGTGGGCCTGTGTAATTAATAATTCATTACTGAATATAGAATCAAGAATTAACAGTAAACTTTAATGATTAATTACATATGTAATTTACGTACGTTGAACTTCAGTTGTATTTCAGAGTCACCGTGTTAATAATTAATCGAATAATTCAACCGTGGTATTGGATCGATTGGATATACTATTTATCACCTGCAGGGAAACAGTTTAAATCAAGGCTTAATATATTACATGAATTTGGAAAAAAGGTATACTATAGGGACTCTAATAATATCATATGTATATATATATATATATATTTAAAGAGATTTAAAACAATGTGTGTGTGTGTGTGTGTGTGTATCTAAATTAATTTTTTTTTACATTTATTTAAAAAAAATTTCATGTTTACATGAATAATTCTAGTTAACATGAAAAATTCTAGGTGATAAATGAGAGGAAGCTTGAGCGACAGTCACAAAATACAAAACTCATAAATGAAGATGGTGAATTTAATATTGGTACGATTATAAATTTTAATTACGTACCATACATCATACGTATATTTTTCTTTTTTAAATATTCCCTATCTAATAAAATTTATTGTATCAGGTAAGCGAAAGAGAAAAGCGTTTTTAGACTTATTATTAGATCAAATCGAGAAAGACAACACTCCTTTGACTGATGATGAATTGAGAGCGCAAGTAGATACGTTTATGTTTGCGGTAAGATGTTAGAATTAAACATTTCTAATTTTTAATACAAAATTTTCTCTTATCAGTTTGGCAACATACCTGTGTAAGTATTATATAGAATACATATAAAATAATAATATAAAATGATAATATAATAGGGACAAGATACAAGTTCGGTTGCCATAAGCTGGGCATTGTTTCTCTTGGGCAATAATCTCGAGCATCAGGAAAAAGTTCACGAAGAACTCGAGGAAATTTTCGGAGATTCAGAGGTACTAGCCAATACAAAAGAACTGTCGCAATTAAAGTATCTCGAGAGAGTTATAAAAGAGACACTTCGAATGTTCCCAAGTGTACCTTTAATCTTAAGGAAATTAGTAGAAGATGTAAAAATAGGTAATTTGTTTGCTAATTAAAAAAATGTTTAAAGAATTTATCAATGTTTGTATAATTTATAAAATAATTAAATGTTATAACGTAAAACAATTAAAAGAATTACGAAATAATATTCATACATACAATTTACTTAAAAATTAAGCAAGTGCAGTATGTTTAAAGATCGATGATGTGTAACATTATAATAATTTCACATAGAAATTTAAGTTTTAGATCATAAAAAATCGTTTATAGTCACAGACAATGTTTTATGTAAACAAATTTACTGTCCATATTAATTTATTTTTTCTATTTTAGATAATTATACACTTCCGAAAGGTACCTCAGTTCTATTAGCGATCGCATTTGCACATCAAAACCCAGCGGTTTGGTCGGACCCATCGAAATTCGATCCGGATCGCTTCCTTCCAGAAAATTCGAAGAATAGAAATCCATATGCTTATGTTCCGTTCAGCGCTGGACCGAGAAACTGTCTAGGACAAAAATTCGCTCTACTCGAAATAAAAATCATTTTGACTGCAATTCTCAGGAAGTGGAGAGTGAAAAGTGTGAAAACAGTCAACACGATCAAGATGGGCGGTTCTCTCATTTTACGTCCAAATGAAAAAGTATTTATGCATTTTACGTCGAAGAAATAAACAGTTTCAGCAAATAAGAAAGATTAGGATAGGAAAGATTAAGATTAGGATAGATTTTTTTAGTAGGAATCACTGTTATGTAGTAAATTTCAAAATATGGATTATTGATCTTAGAGAGAGAAAAAAATATTTAGATTTAATAAAACTGATCATATATATTTATACGACTGTTGTATAAATATTTTTTTCTCTCTCTAAGATCAATAATCCATACTTTGAAATTTACTACATAGCAGCAATTCCTACTCAAAAAAATCATGTCACAAAATTACATAACAAAATTATGTAATTAAAATAAGTAAATTTTAAAAGTCACATAATGATATGTTTCTTTCTTCTATTTCTACAATATTACTTAATTATTTAAAATTCAATAACAATAAAATTATATAGTAAATAAAATTATTTTTAATATTGTGTGTGATTTTTCATTATTATAGTAAATACTCTAAAAATACTTAATAAAACATTATAATCTTAGTAAAAAATATTTAATAAAAATACATATTTATTTATATTTATATAAATATTATGTGAAACATTTGGTCTACATATATTTTAATAATGTTTTTTAATAACGCTTATACAAAGTAGATATATTCACAAAATGTTTATATGATATTTAAAAATATGAACAATATTAAAACACATTTTTAAAAGGACTCAATACATTTAAAACTAATAAATAGAAACAGGGCTACGAGCTAATAAATTCGTTAAAATCTTTAATTTATTCTAATATATTGCGAAGAATATCACGTAATTTTGGCGGTTCTTTCGCTTGTTCAAAGATAATATTGAAATAAAATTAGTACTAAAATAAAACGTTAATGAATCACTTCTCTTTTTTTTTCCTTTATTCATTTTTGTGTGTGTATATCATCTTTTCCTCTCATTCCACAACTTTATTTTTCTCCTTTTTTCTTTCTCTCTCTCTCTCTCTCTCTCTCTCTCTCTCTCTTTTAGAGTTAAGACCCCAGCGTTCGCGAGTGTAACGTTGAAGAGTGTAGTGAATTGGTGCTTTCCCTCTTCTGCCGTGGCACACACGGAGGTACTCAACATCTTGGGTGCGCCCTCACTATGATGGGCGTTCTCTCGCTCTTTCTATTCCTCCCTCTGGAGTTCCGTACCGGGAAGTTCACTAAGCTAATATTAATAAAAAAAATCCATTTATTGATAAAAATATAATAAATAAATAAACCATTGCTTTTCACACCTGCTCATATAAGCTTACGCGTTCCTCTTTTTTTTTTGTTTATTCATTAAATTCTTACCCAGAGTACCGAGCCGTATTCTGGCTAATTTACATTCCGCCATGCCCTTCTTTTTTCTTTACTCACGCAGCGGATCGTTAATCAAAACAAATAATTTAGTTCCAATGACTACTGAGTCGTAGAAATATCGGATATTTCATTATGTACGCTTAGCTACATATGTACATATATAAAATATGTACATATATAAATATATATACTATATATCTGATATCCTTATTTTGATCTCATTTTATTTAAGTAATATTCTAATTCCCCCAATGAAGACGACCAATTAGGGAGGAGTAGGTGTTCCCGCTCGGCCCACAGTCGCTCCTCTTTTTTTGATCGGATCTCTCCAATCCCAAAAGGGAGTCAAAAATATATAACAAATGAGCCTCTAACTATTTCTTAAACCAACACATTCCTAGACCATTTCCGGCAAAAATGAAATCCAACATTTTCCACCCCGCGTCCGGCGCGTCCTCTTCGCGAACACGGGTGTAACAACTCGTGACTAATGGTGAGATAATCAATTGATTTAATAATGTAACGATTCAGTGAAAGTTGATTGCTTATCATGATAAATAATTTAGATCTTAGATAACATATGATCCCACCCTGCGTCCGGCGCGTCCTCCACACGACACGGATGTAACACTACATGAAACACTTTATCGGAGTTATCAAATTCAATTCGAGTCAACACATCGTGTCATAAATAAAAAGTACCCATTAAATATCTTGGAACCTACTATAAAGTCATAATAATACAAGGATACTTACGTTTATAATCGTTACTCTTTAATAATACATACAAATAAAAATTCCACTAGAATAAAACAATTTAATCTAGATCATCTTTGCGTTTATTTTGTCGTTCAATATATTTGTTAGTTTATACACTTTATTCTTGAATATAAGCACTTTTATACAGAGTAATTCTCGTAAAGTTTTTAAAGGATCTGCACGAACTACTTTCGAAATTGTGTGTTATATAAAGTTTAAAACACGTTAGTGTCTCGTGCGGCAAGAATTAATTCAAATTACTAGTCGACAATCCGAAAACAATGACGAAAACGCTGCAGTCAGCATTGGCACCATTATTTATCATTAGTTCGTTCTGCTGTTTGGTTTGGTTTGAATATCCTCTTGGACAACCCAGGCCGTATTTCTTTTGCTTGTATGCCTTGATCGTATGGAGCAGTAATGTATACAACCAAAAATTGAAGCATATGAGAGTATTTTTTTCGGACAACTCTGACTTGGTCGCCATTTTAAGTACTCTTATCAGCTTATATCGTTGTAAGGTACAATTTCTAAAATATTTTTTCCAAATATTACTTGATTTTTTAATATTTCTTAACTTTTGTTTGAGCGTATAATTGGTTGAAACTTGGATGGGCTATTATTAATTTTTTATTATGGACAAATATTAATTTATAAAATGTTTTTACAAAAATCAATTTTAATGTTTATATTATTATTTATTGTTGTATATATATTATATCTTCTAAACTATTAGGTTGGTGCAAAAGTAAAGTCGATTTTTACTATTTTAAACTGTGGTGTCCTTATATTCTACAATCAGGGTACATTTGATTGTGATTATATATCATCATTTTCAAACGCAGATATTGCTTTATTAATTGTGCTAGTATAATTTTGTTTTCAATATTAACTATTTGTGATAAAGATATTGTCATATTATTAGTAAGTATAAAAAATAAGTAATTCCGACTATTTTACATACAAATTTAAACTAGGTTATAAAATAATAGAATTTAGATATATAGATAGTATTAATAAAACTTCGGCTAGGAAACTACAAATGTACGGACAGTATAGCGACAGTTTCAAAAATTTCGTAACGGAGGTGACAGTCTCGGAAATGAAAAGAGTCGGGGATGGTCTGTAGTTAACAATGACAATGACATTGAAGATAATTATTGAAGCGGATCTATTAAAAATCACTCAAGGGATTGCACAGAAACTACTCAATTAACGATCATTTTTTTATCAGTGAATAGTTGTCATTTTAATCAAATCGGAAAAGTATAAAACCAACACTATTTTTGCACGAATCTAATATTAAGAAGTATATATTATTCGTGATTTTGTCTTTATATGTTAATGCACACAGTTCAAATGAAGAACTCTGTTCTCAACCGATTTCATAAAATTAGAGATTTATGCGATTTTTATTTATATCTATGTTCTATATTTGTCAATATCCTTCAATTGCGACTTTAATAAATTCACCGATCCGTTAGAACGTTAGATGTTTCTCGATTTGACCATATCCCTTCAAAATTAGCACGTAGACTTAATAATAAGGCCATGGATATAATTACGATCATAACAAATAGACAAACTTTGTCGAAGTTAAATTTAGAGCGATGGAAAAATTTTCGCTGTCTGCAAGACTTCAACGCTTCCTCTTTCTATGATCGAGTCCAGGGAATGAGTGCAGATTCTTCCCATCTAGAGACACTATCTTATATCGGTCAAACGAGAAGCATATTTCGAGAAAGTATTTTTACCGTAAAGTTCAAGCAAGATTTGTGGAAACAGTCGCTTTTTAACATTCGATCTACGTGTGTCGAGATTCAACCAGAAGATCGTGCTATCCAATAGATTTGTAAATTATTCTGAGAATTTTAAAGCTTTACGCTTCGCACGTTTCGGAGATTTTATCGCTGATTTCACATAAATGTTAGTAAGTAGGTGTATAGCTTGGTCTTGCGTCCGTGAGAAGTGAAATCATTAATCTTGAGAATTGTGATAATTAAATAAAGTGCATTATTCAACGTAATTAAACGAGTTTGACTGCCTTTCGATCTATTACCATTGCTTGAAGTCCACTTTATTAAGATACATATCTCTAAATTACTTCAGTCATCATGCGCTTTCTATGAGCAAAATTGGCACAAAATTCAATGTTGAAACGTAAATAATTCTAGACAAAATATGTTTCGTAAAATTAAGATTTATATTTATATTTATACGTTCTTAAATTAGTTTATAAAATAACTTATTTATATCTTATGTTTAAAATACTAATAAGATTTTATATATAAGAACTCTTTATCTATCATATTTTCTGTATACATTAAAATAATAATATGTGTTTATTCAAGTATAAAATTGTGATACCTTCTATTTTATGTCGCATAATCAATCAATATAATTTTTTAAAGGAATTGAAAATATGTTTACATAAACTCGCCGTAGTAAACGACACATTAGAAGCACTCAATGCTCCAAATGAATATCAAAGGCTGCGTAACTGGATAATTCGAATAATAATCGGATGTATTATATATGTTTGTTCTAATATAGCATTTACACTTTGTTGGTTTTATCATTTTCATGCTTACGTAAATGTTGAAGTCATTTATAAAATAGTTACGTCTAAATATTCAACATACGTAAATATCTCAAGTGCGGTTATTTGCGGAACTGTTCTTGGGTTAGTATAAATGCAAATCATTCACTTACAATTAGTAAGCTATTCTTTATCGACATTGTGAAACAAAATGTTTATAATGTGAACATTTAAAGATCTTTTTAAAATCATTTAAATATTTTAAGATTATTTGTATAATTAAAAAAAAATTTTATCGGTATAAGCATTGCAATTGTAAAGATAATATACATTATAAGCTAACCAAAATGAAAAAATAATAATTTATTTTGTTATAAGTGACAAATGTAAAATGTAAAAGAACATATAAAGCAAATATCAAAATTCTAATTTAGTTTGACATTTATTGTTTATTAACGCAAAATACACGTATATGTATAATGCACGTATTTTAATTTTACTGAAAGGCATAACTAAACCTCTTTCCTTTAATTCAGATACACATGCTCCAGATTTCATCAAGTCAATGATCGTTTACACGTATTTTATTCCGATCTTTTCAAAAACAATGCAGATTACAGATATAGAAAGCAAATCAAATCCATTTTAGTTCGAGAACGTATAACAGGAGCTACGTATCGCAAGCAATCTATGTGGATTATGATGTAATTTTTTAAAAGAATTTCTGTTACACAAATGCGCATGCATATATGTATATGCAAACATCCTCATTTTAAACTTCATAATATTTAGAAAAATATGAATGATACAAAGATGTGTGTTTTTTGAACGTGCAACCGTCGAAGGGGAGACGAACTTTGGTCACGTTTTGTAGATAGAGACACCAAATAGATGGTTACTGTAACGTCCGACGCGCCTACACACACGCGCCCCGTCCGTCACTTACGAGAGCACGCATTGTATCGCGCAACTACCATATTTGCTGCTAATTACAGTACAATACAGTATAAAATATGCTCCACGAACCGTCAAAGGTTGAAAAATCAAACGACGAGCGCAATGCGAGTAATTAACGCCGTATACCTAATCAAAACCAATATTAAATGCAAACGTTACGCTAATCGGGTGGGGCAGATGCACCTGCAGCTCCTTGATTTCATTTATCTCACATAGATATATATAATGCTATATGATCGCTTAGCGGCATTTAACGAAAAAATCGTCAGTTTAGATGCTTAAAAATGCAATCGAAAGATCAATCTATAATAGACAAGCAATAACTCGTAGTCAAAATCATATTTTCAGCTGCATCCATATGCATCTTCGATAAAAAGGCTAAAATAAACATTACCGACGTTGAGTAAGAACGATTCGAGCGACCGAATAAAGGCTAACGCAAATCCTTTTTAATAGAAAAACCAGCGCATTGCTTTTCCTTATGCTTCTATGTATAGTACGAGTGATCCCTGCAGATACACCAGTATCACAGTACCGCAACGTCAGATAAGCCGTCCTAACAGATACGTTCGATAAAAATTTAATCAAACGCCTCGTTATAGAGAAAATCAGGAATTACATTATTAAAGAATTTTCTATTCTAATTTTTTTTTGTTTTATATTTTTTGCCCCGCTAACGCGTTGCCAATGCAGCCTATGTTTGAAAAAATGGACCGGACTATACCTTGTGAAGCGTTTTTTTCAAACGCGCTCTCATTAGTATAATTTCAAAAATTAATATTTGTAATAATATTGCAAAATCACTAAACAGTATGAAACTTTTGTATTTATTTCGATTCTATTTACCTTTCTGTGCGAAATTGGAGAAATTTCGCGGGACACGTTGTAGAAATATTAAGGTGTAACATAAAAAAGTAAGGTAATATATTACACTGCATTGCAAATTATTTTATAATAGTATTAAAGTAGAGTTATTTTAAATACTTTCTTAGGGCACATATTGATCGACATAAAACTCTTAAACTATTAATTTTTTGATGTCTCTATCTTAATTTTTATGTACAGAATAACTACAAGAGTCGTATATTTAGTAAAAAAATATAATTACATTTAAAAAAGTGTTAATAACATTTATACTTACATTGTGCCATCACCTAGAAGAAAAAAACTAACGTAATTAAAATACGACCCCTTGAAAATCGTTCCATTTTCAAATTAAATATTTCTTAGTATCATCCAAAATAATATTCTATGTTTAATTCAAGGTTTTCAATTTAAATGGACCACCTAGTCCAAGTGCATATAAAAATAATTAACTTTAACTGTGTGAAATAATTGCATATTTAAAATTAATCGCAAATTACAATTATAATTTAAATCGAATTCTACGCTATAAATATATTTTACTTTATACATCTCGTACTTTTCTTTATTGTTTCATTGATTATGACAATTACGATTTTTTACAGGCACATCCACTTACAACTATGCCTTATAGCAAACAAACTAAACAAAATATTAAAAGTACAAATGATACTTCAAATGCTATGGTACTTTGCAATAGCTTTGGTATTCAGTATCAATGTAGCTAATTCATTTAGAGTAGACAAGAAACTACTTTGGACATTAGAAAACAGTATATTTATTTTAGAAGACTGTTTTGAATTCATTCTGCATAGCATATTATTTCTCACATTAAATGACATATGTCAAACTATTTACTATGAGGTAAAGTAGAATTAAAACATTACTAATTATTTATAACAAGAAAAATAAACGCAAATAACAATTTTACATGAAGGAAGTTACATATATAGGTCGAAGTTTTTTTTCCAAATGATATAATCTTATTCACTGGATTTCTAATTTTACTACAGACTTTCTTATTGCATAAAACAATTTCAGATAAACGAGACAGTAGCAATTCTTTACAAAGTGTCCAATAATCTCGATGAAGAAGAACGTGAACAGGTAAATTATTACAACAAAGTTTTAATAAAATTTTAACTATTCTATGTGCGTAAATTTATTACCGCACACAGAAGAAGGATACCTTCATAAATCATATCGAATAATTATGCAAGAAATTGGAATAATATAAAACAGCAATTGTATTATACTAATACTATATAAGTAATAATAATACTAATAGTATATAAGAATATAAAGGTTAAAAAGTTTTATAAATAGTTTTTTATTTCATATGTTAAAAGCGAATACTTTAAATTTATACTATCAATGTCCTACAAAAAAATCTTAAGCATTTTGTGGCTTATAAAATTAAAAATATTTTGTAAAACTTTTGCAATTAAGGTTAATATATGTACAGATATCTTAAATAAAATATAAAATAACACGATTAAATTCATAATGTTGATGTTATATCCAATTTGAATTATTTTAAATCATTTCTGTAGATGGCTACTGATTTTTTGTGATTAACTTAAATGAAAGCCATTGAATTGAATATAATTTAACTCATGGAAAGATATTAATTATGACTCAAATTTAGTTTACTATTTAATAGATGTATATAATAATATAAACTCTGTTTACTTTAAAATTTAAAAAATAGCTTGATTTTTTCACATTTGTGTGTACATTGTTTAGTTTAGCGTGCTATAAGGCATAATTGTAGGTAGACGTGCTTGTAAAAAATCATAATTGTTATAATCAATGAAACAATAAAGAAAAGTACGAAATGTGTAAAGTAAAATATATTTGTAGAATTCGATTTAAACTATAATTGTGATTTGCGATTAGTTTAAAATATGCAATTATTTCACATAGTTAAGGTTAATTATTTTTGTACTAGGACTAGGTGGTCCATTTAAAAATAATATTGAGGATTATTTATTTCGTACATGACCAATTGATGTTTTATAATAATGTCTTAATTTTTACAAATCCATTTAATAGTATTTAAGAGGGTGTCTAAACTGTCATAAATGACAATGCATAATTAACATTTGGTTAATTATTTATTTCAATTAGATTTTTCAATTTATATTACAAATAAAACAAGGAGATGTAAAATTTAGCATGGGAAATTTCCACTTTGGATATAACTTCGTTCGTCAGGTATATTTTACATTGAATATAAGTATATTAGCATATGTAACATAAAGTACATAATAATAGAAGAAACACGTTTTACGCAAATTAGATACGTAAATATCTAAATAACATTATCATTTCTAAATAATTTCTAATTTAATGATTTACATATAGTTCATTTTCATTTTACATATTTAAAGTCTTCTTTGACGTTAACTGTTTTCATTTTAACACAAATATTTTCATTAACCGTAATAAAAGCATACTTTTTTCAGTTATACGATGCAGTTTTGTCCTGGCTGATGATTTTAATACAGGTATATAGTTCATAATTGACTTTCCATTCTCCCTAATGCATGACAAAATGGTTTGATTACAGTTTGATGTCAACGTATATAGTTAAATGCATTTTGGTTGAACTAAATAGAATTTATGGTAGTTAATATATGACTAATTTGAGATTTTAAACTGTAACGACTGATGCTAGATTATATTATAAGTGCTATATTATAATATATTGTACTATATCGTAAAAATTTATTTCATACTTTTCAGATGGGTATATTTGATTTATCAATATACAATTAAAAACCATTTAATGTAACAACATAACTAATACGAATACGAAGCCTATAACAATCTAACTTAGTTACTTTATATATAATTTCGCGTGAATATATATACTATAATATGTGTAGTCTTTAAAAACTGCGTGTCTCTCGAACAATTGTCGGTCTTGAAACGCAATAACTCTAATATATAGTTCCAGCACTCACCACGCAAGTACATAAGTGATGTAAAATATCATAAAACCTCAGTTGATATAAAGGATTCCGGAAAGAAAGAAATCTATACTTTTGAATAATGTAATAGAATTTTGAAGATTACTGCAATAGGTCAATATGTTAATTCGAATTTCTGTACAATTCTATTATAAAACATGTATATTTACATATAATTTTATAATATATATTTGTTATAGAATTAAATTAAATTTTACATACATTTTTATAGTATAACCTACTGAAGATCTCATTTTATCCTAGTATGAAATCTTTAATTATTAAAAAGTATTGTTTGCAAAAAATTATCTCTTATACAATCCCTCGATGTATTTGAATCTCCACCTACATACGATTAGAGGTTTCTTTCAGTTTTCTATAGGAACTCTAAACGTGACGTGAGCGAACGTTGCGATTGACGAGATCTAATAGAAGGTATGGAATCGAGAGCCAATCAACTGCGGCTACAGAATAAGGTATTTACTTCGCTGCTGGTGTGACAATACAGCAAAGTCAAATGTGACGAGAGGATTCAAATTTCAACAAACGTATCGGTTGCTCTCCTTGATAATCCTTTTATGTGAGACACTGTCAACACCAACATTATTCTACCTTTCTTAGCATTTAATGAGTAACAAAGATAGACAATTGACACAACTGCCTTCTAAAAGGAAAACAGTCATTCCCAAGTTGGATGGTTTAAAATTAAATCAGGATTACGATTATGACACAATAATCTTTAAATAGAAAGAATAATAAAAGCAAATTGAAGAGAAAGGAAGAAAATCGAACGCATCAGACTCGTTTTTAATAATTTTTTTAATTAAAAATCGGAATATTAAAAAATGGCGTATGTATACTTTTAATAATATAATTTTTACTAAATTCTATAATAAATTGTATAGGATAATTTGTATAGAGTGATTGATTTCATTATTAGCAAATTTTGGAAGTATATAAAAAAGTAGTTTCTACCAATGTTTAGTATTCAAAGAAGAAATACATATATATTGGAAACAATTATTTTATATGTAGATTTGTAAATGAAGGCGTTGGAGACATTTCGAGGTCAACTTCATTTTTTTATATAAAATTATATTAGAGGTCTACAAGTTTGCTTCCGCCGTTTTTACAGGTATAAAACTATTTATATGAAAACGGCGGGAGCAAACTTGTAGACCTAATATAAATTTTGTTACACAGTATGATTCCTCTAATTATTCTGCATATAAAAGCGTCAGGTAGACATATAAAAAAAACAATATAATTTAGGAGTTATTTAACATTTTATGTCAATATGTGTTAGAATAAAGTATAATATATTTCGTAAACTATTAGTTTTTTGATACTTCTACCTTTTATGTACAGGTAATTAGAAGAATCAAATTGCGTAAAGAAATTTGCACACATATAATTTTATTTAAAAAAAATTTTGAAATTTCTCTAACACGCCTGTACTCATAAAATAATTGTTTCACTATATAATGCTTCCTTCCTTTCTTTGCGTTGAACATTTTGGTAAATTTTTCATAAACTTACAAATTTCGCTAAAAATTAAATCAGTTATTTTATACAAATTACTCTGTATGTTATTTATATAATTATTATAATTATACATAAATTACAATAACATACAAATAAAATGCCTACTAATAAGCCTCCATGTGGTTGTTAATATAACATTAACATTTTAGTTACATTTGATTTATTTTTGAAGCTACACAATTATTTTTAATTTAACAAAAGTACATGTATATATTTTATAAGTCTATAAATTTATGAAATTATAATTTTATAAATTTATAGAATTGTATTTTATAGAATCTCCTGAATATCTCTAATAAATCTATAATATATTTCTAACGTGAAGGGTGTGTGTGTGTGTGTGTGTGTGTGTGTGTGTGTGTGTGTGTGTGGGTGGTATCACAGTTAAAATGATAACTTTAGAGTAAGTGTATATTTTTTACTGACAAAATGAGTTAACATTCCGACTTTGGCACACACACACGCGCGCGCGCGTGTAGTGTGTAGTAACAAATGTCTATTTATATATTGCATTTATTGCTGAAAGTATATTAACGTTGCGTTATTTTCACAATAGAAGCGACGAAATAAGAATCTGTTGGATAAGAACAGTGAAACGACACCGTAAGATTCAGAAAAATTATTGGGAGCGCGTGGCACAGAGCAATCCAAGGTACAAGAAAGAAGCTAAGGACGTTCTATTGCAGAAGTTACTATCAAAATTTGATACGGCATATAACAACAAAGAGGATATCCCTCGCAATGTATTGACCGCGATACTTTATTTAAACGCAGGTATATTACATGTTGAAAAAAAAGATATAACATTCGCCATGGAATGTTACCACAAATGCAATGAATTGTTGGAAGATGACGAACTGACGTCTAAAGGCATTATACCGGCTATAAGCGTTTGTAAAGAATTGGGTCTAATTTATGAGCAACAAGATTTATATGATGTCGCTAAAACTTTTTTAATACAAGCAGAAAATTTGTACATTAAGTTTACAAAGGTTGAATTGGATCCTATTGTGACACCCATTATCGGTATCAAGGAGATGCAAGTAGATTGGTGCGCTAAAAATATTCTCGACAAGCTTCACATATCGATTTTATATTCTTTAGCAAAGATCTGTCGTAACTTAGTCTATAAACCTGCGTGTACTCGCGAAGATACACAGAGCAAGGAATTATGTGAAGATAACATGACGAACAAAAAAATAATGAAAAATTATGCCGATTGGGCTGTAACTGTTGCGAAAATATCTTTTCATTTCATAGAAGAAAACCAATTTTCACAAGCGAGGTATCATCTAGCTGTAACATCCTATATATTGAGGAAATACTTAAAAACTTTGAGAGAAAAACACGCTACGAAAACAATTGAGAATTTTACTGTAGAATACGAACATTATAATGAAGCAGCAGCGAGTATCGCTAAATTTTGGGCAAAGTACGGTATTACTCTTTTGTGTTCGTCCCGGAAGAGATTGTTAATGACAAAAGAAGAACAAAATGAAAAAGATCAGGATTCAAATCTTATAATAGCTTTTAACGAAATGTACGAGGATTTCCGAACTGAGACAATGAAGGATCCAAGAATTGAAGGCTTACAATTAGAATCAGAATTAAAGATTGTTTCAAGTAAATTTACAGATAAATATTTATTGGATTTTAACTCTGCCAAAGTATTGTTCTGGAACGTAAAGGAATTGTTGAACAACGCAAAGCTACATTACACTTTCGAAAAGCATCCGTCAGATTACGCCAGTATTACTTTACTCGTCTCTCGAGCCTACGATTACTTGGGGTCTTTCGAATGCGAAGACAAACGGATAAAAATGCACGAACGGCGCGTAGAAATTCTGGAGGAAGTAATTAACAGTAGATTATGTCCGCGAGATAACCAAATCATTTGTAGGCGAATTTGGATCGACCTCGCAGAAGCATATTTGACGATGGTGAACTTGATGGAAATGCGTTTGCAAGTATTCCAGCCGAGACTCCACCAAAACTGGCTCATGTCAAAAATCGAGAGTCGAGCGAAAAGTAGTATAAAGCACTATCAGTCGTACTTGAATTCTTTAGAGATGAGCAAGTCCGAAAGCGGAGTTGAATCCTTCTCTGACGATGAACTGTATATAGCATTGTGTGCTTATAACAATTTAGGAGCATTGTACAATAAGATCGTAACTTTCGATATACATCAAGAGATAGAGTATATGCAGAATAGCCTTGACGCTTACACTTTCATCGTTAATTACTACAATAACCATCCTGAAAAGCAGAAGGAGTTGGAGAAATACGAGTTCATAAAATCATCTAAAGAAACGGTCACAAGATTTTCGAGTGCATTAGAAAACTGTAAAAAAATAATAGATGACGCAAAGGAAATACATACAAAATTTGCTAATATTTCTTTTTCTGATCCTTCTTAACGTATTTTTTATGTGAATACGAATGCGTTGTCTAAATTTAGCTATTATTTTACAGTTTTGACAAAAATGGCATTTAACAATTAAGGCATAAAACGGCAACATTTTTAAAATCCATGGAAAAATTTTATATATCATATAGACATATACTCTCTAAATCTGAATCAGTGGATAATCACTGATATCAGTGTCAAGTATGCCACTTTTCTCTGATTACCCAGTATGACATATCTGGCACTGGATAATCAGTGAAGTTTAATTAAAAAAGAAAGAAGGTTTGAGCATTATATCCTATAAATTATTGATATTTACATGTTAATTTTCAATCTTCTAATACTATATTAATTGAATTTATGCACTAAAATAAGATTAGTTACACAAAATAAAAGTTAGATAGGTTAGAAATTCCATATTTTATTCATTGATTACCAGTGGCATACTGGCATACTTGGCACTGATATATCATGAGTGATTATCCACTGATGCAGATTTATTTTGTTTTGTACATACTTATAAAATATTAAAATATACATAAAATATATATATAAAATGTCATTTTTATATATAATTATATAAATTATATTATTTTATATAATTATACAGAATTATATGTAAAATATTTTTTCTCGGAATTATAATATTTTGTCATTTTTTTCGTTCTTAAATCATATGATACTTTAAGCATGCTACTTTTAATCTTTTTTACTTTACGTGACAATGTAAAATGATTATTAATTACGCCTTGTATACGCATGTTCAAAAAATAAATATTTAAAAGTATTTATAAAATAAATTTTCTTATTTGTATTTGCATGCACTCATATATTACAACAAAGTGTAACAACTTATGTTTCACGTACTTAATTTCCACTTCTTTTGTTAAACAATAAAAATAATTCAGTTTTATCCATTAGCAAAATAATATTAAATAAAATTTGTCGATTAAGTTAATCGAAATTTAATCGAAGTTATTATGATTAATTAATAAGCAATAGTATCTAGTCTAAATAATTATAT